GATTGACAACGATGGAGGGTTTGATCAGCAACATCTTGGGAACGGCTGCTTTGAGAGCGCTGACAGGGATTTTATTGGCTTTGCTTTTAAGATGGCGGTCTGGGATTTTTCTCTTTCTCTGTCCTCTTTCCCTGAACCCACACTCTTTTCATGCTTTATTGCCCAGTTGATTTATCTCTCCTCACCAACCTGGGAAGCCAGATTGGTTACGAGTGTGATGTTCAACTGCTGATCTCAGCTGTTTATGAGCTCCAACAGATGTTCCTGTTTCTAAGATCCTTGGGTTGTTAGTAGGAGGGAGGGAGGGAGGAAAGACGCCTACTTTGTCTTGGCTATGCATCATTTTTCCCTTCCATCTCCGTTATCTCTTAACTCCGAAGGTGAACGTTTCACCTTGGAAGCTGGTTGGCGATGCCAACGGAGATGGAGGAAAGGGGAGAAAAGCTGATCTCTTTGAGTCCCCCCACAAAAAATATTAAAGCTTATGTTGCTAAGGTTTGAAAAGCACCAAGCCCTGACAAGGTGAGTTTCCATCTGAAAAATCCTTTCTCTCCAGGATGGTCTGAATGGATAACCTAGTTACTCCTGGCAGCTCATTAAAGGGAAAGGTTGGGGAACGAACATCGTGCCAAGGAGAGTAACAAATTGGCCTTGAAGCTAAGAAGCGGTGCCAAGCTCCTGTGGCTGTTGATCAAGGCATGCTGGAATCAAGGACGTCACCATGGGCTTTGTCAGGAACGGTTTCTTGATACACCTCTCCCTTCAACAACACTGGGGGTAGGGGGCGCCAGTCCCCTGTGTAGTTCAAAATCAGTGCCTAACTCTTACGCTGCCCCCCCCAATGTAACTAGAAAGCACAATCAGTTGATTTACACACATAGACACATACAGGCCTCCCTCGACCATCATCAGCCTCCTGACATTGCCCAGCGCCTTCGCTGAGCACTATATGGAGTCGCCAAGCCAGGAGAGGCGTCCAGCTGGGAGGCCACCATATCAGACTGGGGGAGACACTGCAACAACGACAACGGGGGACTAGACCTAAGTCTGAGGCCTGCCTTTCTCAGGCCACCTCCTGAACAGCAGTGCAGTATTTATTGAATATTCGTTGACCTTTGTTGATGCCTTCGTTGGAATATTTATTCATGCCTTTATCAAGAAAAGTCCGTGTCCCACCCAAACTGTGCTGTTTGGATCCATGCATGTCAAGGGAGAAGTGTGTCATTCATATCTCATTGAGGCATTAGAGTCTTCTCTAGCTTGGATCGTAATCCAAATAGCTTTGAATGCTGCTCGAAAGCGATCTTGGGGAAACGCGACATTCCCCGAAGGGTTTGATGCCTGGGACCTCAGGGCCTGGGGAATACCCATATTTCCCAAGGCCCCCAAGTCTTGATCCTTGGGCAAGCATGACGTAGACTAGAAGTTCTCAGAGTTCCGGGTATGGGGTAGATATCGCTGGTCAGGCCAACTATGATTCGCTGTTGAACATCCTCCCTTTCCCCATTCGGTTTCTATTCACTGCCGCATCCTGGCTTAGAGATACGGGAAATCCTGAGAGCACGGTTTGCTACTGTCATTCCCTCCCATGAGTTCCCATGGCCCCGTGGGGATTTGAATCTGGCTCTCCTGTCTCCTAGTCTATCACTCACATTTGGGGAGTTAGGCTTAAAAAAAGTAACTTTATTTCCAACTTCACTTCCAGGGTTGGCAGACAACCTTTACCCCCCTTTTTTCCACTCTTAATAACTGTGAAGCAGAACTGCCCTCTG